TGTGTTTAAGTGGTACTGATTTGTGTTTAGAGATACTGTAACTATATGGTTAAATTAGAAAAGATACGCTTACTATATTGTCCACAGTTATACTGCCTATGTTATTGTGTTATAACTCTGCGAGGCTCTAACGGGTCTTTCGCCCCAATTAGCCTCGACCAGGGTGTAATTGGTCAGGTCAACATTGTGTATGTTGTTGACAGAGGCTACATATGAGGAGTTTAACCTTTGTAATTAACCACTTGTGGTTATGACGCACAATGTTATTTACAATAATCTGTATGTAAGAAAGAATGGACGTGAAAATATTATATTTTATAGGGTGATTCTATGGCAAATCGCCAACGGTCTACCTGTGGTCCACCTATCTAGAAAATAGAAAGGTATCTGAAATGAGAACTTTCTCTGTTTTGGAATATCTCTTCACACAAAACCATTATTGGATACATGTACATAATTTATGTTCAGTTCCAAGCTTAATTTATATTTTATATCTAGATTATCAGAACAGATTACGTACAGTTGATTGGAGTTTCGATGAAATGGTCAAGCCAAAAGGATCAGTGGCATGAATGGTAATGATGTCTGTTCATTGTAGCGGTTGTAGAGGAGATAATGACCACGGCACAACATTGATTAATGACTTTAGATAATGATTGGTCATTAGGTAGCGGTCGATCAGTCTGTAAACATGTGATAGAGTTAGTCCTCTTGTGTATTGCGGCAAAACATCCCCAATACCGATATGTACTATATTTACTACGTATGCTACACCTAAGATCCAAATCTGGGTAAATTAGATTATTTGACCACCAATGTTGAGGTATTTTATTTAGAAACAACATGCATTAAAGGAAAAAAATACTTTAAATTAGATTTCCAAAACGGTGTAACCTTTTTCCTGTATACAATGGCATTATGATATTTATAAAGTTGTGTCTACGTTGAAACTAGCTTTTAAAAAATGGTATTGTTTAGTTTATGATAAAAAAGTTATAAAAAAAAATAACGAATCGTCTTCATTTCCATGCATAATTGGATAGTGTTATTACAACTGTACATTTTCTTTAAGAGGTTGGTGGCTCTTTACCTGGTATTTGCCCGTACGTGGAACGTATCCAGAAAAGTAAGGGGTAAGCCGGTACATTACATGGGTGAAAGTGTATTGAAAAAAAGTAATGGCATGTACGAGGATCCGAACAAACCATCGTTGTCTTGAGCCGCTGGCGCTCCGTGGCGCTATCGAGTCGACTGAGTCCTATCGAGTCCAGCCTTCGACTCCCAAATTATTACTCTTCTGCTGATGTAGTTGCGTAAAATTTGAGTCTCAGATTTACCTCTAAACATTGAAAAATGGTGTGATATTGTAATTAGTGTAGATAGTGCGAATGACAATCTCGTTGGAAATACAGAAATGAAGGTTAACAATCTTTTGTATAACAGAAATAACAATAATTGTATTATCTCATAGAGAATATCCTTTAGCAAATAATATACAGGGTGTTTCAAAACTCTCTCCCCAAAACTCCATGGTCATGTTCCTTAGGTAAAAAAATGTCATATAAACTATAATATACTATATATGCCCTACTTTTAGTGCGCTTAGAAACTTTTTTTTTTAATTTATATTTATAAATTATTTAACCATTAAAACGTACTAACTATTAGCTGGATCGACCTGGCGACCTTTTGACTGTCATGTGAGCAATAACTGAAATACATACAAAATGTATTCACTTGAATGTTAAATCAACGAGGCTTTGTTGCTTTATATTTCAAAGTGTATAAATTAACCTAATATTGAACGTATTACATGCGATAGAGCAATGACGTCACAGCCAGATCAGATCAGTTCATTGGTATGCATTAGCTAGATCAAATGACCACTGAGGCCACTGACTTTCTACGTTGGTTAGACTACCAAGCCTGCTTAGTACGGGTTGTATAATATTGAACGTATTACATGTGATAGACCAATGACGTCACAGGCCAGATCAGATCAGTTCATTGGTATGCATTAGCTAGATCAAATGACCACTAAGGCCACTGACTTTCTACGTTGGTTAGACTACCAAGCCTGCTTAGTACTGGTTGTATAATATTGAACGTATTACATGCGATAGAGCAATGACGTCACAGGCCAGATCAGATCAGTTCATTGGTATGCATTAGCTAGATCAAATGACCACTGAGGCCGCTGACTTTCTACGTTGGTTAGACTACCAAGCCTGCTTAGTACGGGTTGTATAATATTGAACGTATTACATGCGATAGAGCAATGACGTCACAGGCCAGATCAGATCAGTTCATTGGTATGCATTAGCTAGATCAAATGACCACTGAGGCCACTGACTTTCAACGTTGGTTAGACTACCAAGCCTGCTTAGTACGGGTTGTATAATATTTGTATGAAATTGGTAAATCAACAGTAGTTAATTTAACGAACAATTATGTAAAGTGATATACCTCTGTATCTATAGTATCTTTGGTATGACAAAATAATTGACAAGAAAATAAAAATTGATCATGTTAGGTTATGACCGTTAGTTTGGTGAAATATGTAAAAAAAAAAAATTAAAAATACACAAATTATATAGTTTGTTGTTAAAGAAGACAGGGGTTGTGTTGTACGAATTCAAATAGATTACAGTTTTCTTTTTTCGACCTTTTATTGATACCAAACATATAAGTTGTTGTTAACATTTAAATATTTTACTATACCCCATATATTTAATTCTTCAATTTTCTAATGCCTCTTGTTAGTTCATCAGTCAAAACAAATTTCGTCAGCCCAAAGGTTTTTTTTTTGTATTGCATTTTTTCCCTCTTGTTATACTAAAAAAAATCAACGCCTGTTACACCCGAAGTAAAGTATGCTAAATCTTCTCAAATCTGCTACAAAAAATAGAAACTTTGTTAGTTGTCTGGCTCACTACTGCATGCAAACTGTGTATAACATGGTATAACCTATCACTAATCCTAATTTTGTCCCGGGTTATCCTGCTGCATATTAGCTGCTGTAAAATTATTCCACGGTAAAGACTGTTAAATGAAATATAAATAGCATTATTGACAGTAAAAGCTACATTGGAAATTCTTAAACAATAGCTGTATGCACGGTGCAAAATACAAAACATATTCAGTTGTTGAAGTAAAATATGAAGACTCATACCAAGAAGTAACTTCGCTCAAACAAAAGCTCGCACAAAACACACTAAAGCAGACACACTGAGGGGATATAAGCTGGATAAGTCCTAAAAATAAATACCGTTCGATGGATCTCCACAGCTTCTGTGTTTATGTTCTGATGCGACTAAAATCTGAGACATAAGTTTCAACGATATATCCACCCAATTCTTGCTTTTGCTGATTGTTAGTCTGCTTTTAATACACAAACTACTTTGGTTGGTATATTTAGATAACATGACAAAACACAACAAGCAAATGGTTAATTTTCTATTTGATTATTTATTTAAATTCGATACTAACTGCAAATAAACAACACATTAAACATAATACGCATTAGTTGTATAGTAACACATGTAACTTTGTAGATTAATGAAAATTATATTGAATAACAATAGTTTTGTTTTATGTTTTAGTGTTATTATATTCCAAAAGGTATTTTCAACGTTATTTGTAACAAAACAGCCCAAACCCTAGATGTGTTACTGCAAGTCGACCTTTTGATGGATTTAGTTGGTGGCCCAATGAAAAATTCACCCTACGGAATCGACTCAGATCGAACATTAAACTTCAGATTTAAATGTATATGAGATTCTTCTAAAACATTACAAAGGAAATTGCAAAAAGTAACATTAATACTCATATTATTTATTTGTGAACACTTTACTAAAAGATTTCACCAGTAGGCATGTATGCTTTGAAAGTGAACTAATTTATTATTAACTCACATCCAGCGTAAATGGCAATCACTTGTTGCTGATAACTGTTAACCGCGATCGTGCAACTTTTATTGAAATAGTTGTTATAGTAAACTAAGCGAGTGTATGTAGAAAATAGCATTTCAAATATAGTTTAACAAAAATAAAAATAATGATTGGTTTTTAAAATACAAAAGACCTAAAAATCATTTAAACCTTTTATATATATCCGAGATTAATTAAAATTAAAAATAACAAATACATTTTAAGAAAAGTTATCGAATAGTTATTTAAAAAAAAAACTATTTACAGTAACTCTCGAGGAATCAACATTTCAAAACAAATTGGCATAATTGTAAAAAATTACATAGTCGGCAATCCTATTATTGCATGCTAATTATAATAGCCTATTCAAAAAAATACTATATCAATATTACTAGAGGTCGGCTACATGGCAACCCATACGGCCCATGTAATTTTTTAATAATTTTAAATTAATTTGTTGTCCTTATTTTTGAGCTTATTTTAATTAATAAACAGTATGCGTAGATTTTCCCTGCGATGCACAAGAGCTGAGAAAAAAGGTTTTAAAGAAACATGCCTGCCTATAGATAATTTTAAAATAAGGGAACATTGATATTATACAATATCTCACTCATTAAGTGTTATTCAACCATGTTTTACTTCAATACAAATTTGATTACAACGGTCCATATCGATGGTGACTACTTCTCTTTCAAAGAACAGAATCTGGTTTTCCGATGATATTAAATTTATGACGCCAAAACACCTGGGTGTTTATTGAAAAGAAAATTATTATGGTTCGTACTGACTACGTGCAGCGGGTTCTATAGTCAGAATCATATATGAAAAGCCCAACCCAGCCCCTGTTTAGAACCCTGACTTAAGATTTTGGACTCATAACATATTTTATATATACGTCCTTGTTGTAAGTATTGATTAACAAGTTCCCCTATTTACTCTATATTTAGAGATCCCGCCACGTTTCTGGCGCTAAACGAGGCCAGCCACTATGTCGGGCGACGCCTAACTGTACACTGTCGCGGGCAATCAGTCGGTTATTGTATGCCGCCCCCGCTAGGGGTGTTGGGGGCGGTGGAGGCGGCGTGGGCGACGGCGGCGGCGACAGTAGAGTCAGCGTCGCGGCGGCGGCAGTGTGTAGCGCGCCTGTGACCTTCTCACCACCGACTGTTTCAGCGGGTAAGTGTTTTATTGTACCTTAGATTACGATTACTACGAATACAGCAAATATACGGGTTCCTATTATACAATCATTAAATACAGGGTTTTGTACGTGTTTCATTTTGGTGACGACTAAATTAAATCGCCGCGTATATTATACGACGTAAGCTTTACTTGATCGTAATACGAGAAGTAAAGCTATTGTTAGAGGACACTGTTGTCATAATTATTTTTATTTTTAATTATTTTTAAAATATAAGTTAAATAACAAGAAATGAAATCATCAGCAAGTACTGTACACCAGTCATGGACTTCCTTGTGGATTGGTTATCCTTGTGGATCATCTGATGACTCTTTCGACTTGAAATCAGATTTATTTGAGTGCGCTTTCGTGTTCGCTGGTAATTTATTTTTACTTTACTGACTTTTGAATTATTTCCCAGATTGATTAACAATTGCTTGTTTAGTATATCGTCAACGAGTATACTTTTCACTGTAAAAATGTACCCTTAAATAAGGGAATTATATATGTTACATTAACACACACGAGCGAAATCAGACATGAAACACACATGAAAATAGGGTTTAGATTTTAAATCTGATGAGAAGTGTGCATGTAGTATTCAAAGGCTATGGTCCTTAAACAACCTCAAGCAGCCCCCAGAGGTAGTGCTTGGTAATTTCAGGTCCTATAATAGTTGAACTTCAGTGTATTGATTAGTTATAATTTGATGGATGTAGTCTAAAAGTTGAAATTAGTTGTCCCGGCTGAAATACTTAGTTTACTTACATATATTTATGCTAAAATGACAAGAAAATGCCCATCACTGCCGGTTGTTTATTATAAATGGGAGGTTGAATATCCGCATACACTGAATACTCATACAAAGTGTATTCCGGTTCATAAGCTGTATTTTTCGTCACATATTTAACAGGCTTTCTGATGGAGATCCGTCAACTCCGGTCTATCTTAGTTTTCCGTTTATCTATTAAATTTGATAAACTTTACTTATTGTTTGTATAAAAATTCAACTAAAATTATATAATTGACCTAACAAACATAATTAACTCGTTAAGTATTATAGCGATCCATTAATACAGTAAGGTATACTTATGCACCCTACTAAATGTGCCATTAAATTTTGACATTTATAAATATTAGTAAAATATTGAAAAAAGTCATTATGTAAAAAGAAAAAACTCTGCAGTAATTATACCCCAATCCACACCTAATATTTCCCAATATTCTAAAAATATTATGTTTGAAACGTATTGATGATTATGTACCTCTGTCGTAGTAAAATTAATGATTAAATCTGTATTATTTTCATACTGAGAAGAGAGTAGCATTACGACGGAACGCTGCATACTTGTGAATACATTTTAGTTATTTTACACAAATTTTGACAAAAAGAAGGTACAGTTTACTATGAATTGTCTTACAAGTTTGCTCGGTTAAATAGCAGGCTTATTCAACAGTAACCTGTAAATTACATCAGCGCTATCGGTGGATCAATCGAATTATGTTCATTGTATGCTGAAACTGGTAAATAGTTAACATGGAAATGGAATGCTAAGTTCTATCCATGATAAAGGTTAAACCACTAAAATGGTTGTTTGTTTATGTTATAGTTTAGGATAGAAAAAGGCTAATAGTTTCAGAGTATCCATAATAGCTTTATATTATAAAAACACATTGGATAAGAGAAAAGTGTATTGTTAGTAAATGTAATCGGGTAAAGTGTATTTCATGGCTTTATCGGCATCGCTAACCGGATATAATTACCAATGGATATTTTCACCCTGCCCTCGAGGGGATTGGAAATGTTTATATAACTTCATAAATGTGTCAACTACATATATAGAGTTATTACTAATGCATATGTTTGTACAGGTTATTTATTAAAGTCCATGTTTAAAATTAATGTAAGAACTAATGCATTTTTTAAAACATATTTTGATGGGTACAAATACACTTTACTTATTCGATATCCGAAAGTAGATTGCTTATAACAATAATATTAGGGCCGAAAAGTAAAATTTACTACTCTCTCATTAGGTTTTAAGCATGTGATTCTAAAATTATGCATCAGGGAACACATAAACAGTAAAATGGATCTAACGAATTGAATTGTGCACTTAGATTACAGGATCTATGTATTCGAATAAAATTTAACAAAGCGAATCGATACTACTGAGCTCAATAGTGGGATGTTATGATAACAGATATGTTTTTCTATGGTAGCTTATTAGTATTAGAACAAAGAGAATTTAAACTTAGTTGTCTATTTTATTGTTCAAGAAATACACAGTTGTGTTGGAGTCAATTAATTTGTTAAACAATATTATAAAACGATTCCTTAGATGTCCATTTTGAGCCATTATGTGTGTTTAGATAAGTGAACATTACTATATAATATATATACTTACTTTAATTACTCCTCAATGTCTTTTAGATGCGAGAATATAAAACATATATAATAATTTTTAACATATTTTTGTGTGATTTCAAATTGATTTAATTTATTGCTTGTTCGTGGAATATGGTTTCAGAATATTATACAAAATAATTTACTATAATTAGTCATACAAATAAATAAACAAATTAAATATCAAACAAATTTCATGTAGTCATTTATCAGATTAATAACATGATATTCATCTCTAGGTAGAGTGGCTCTAGGTTTCATGTTACATATAAAACCAAAAGAATGAATAGGTTTTGTAATAAACAGAATAATAAAAATATAGGGTTCATACAGAGTTCAAATATTAAAGGTAGTGAAGTGTAAATAGAAACAGTTTTCAATTACTAACAGAAACAAGTAGTTGTTATTAAATTTATTGGCTAATACACGAAACCGAAAAGATAGTGTTTTTGTAAACCTTATTATTTGCAAATTTTAATTTGAAATTTAATCTGTGTAGTATTATATACTTTTTAAAGAAGTGAAAATTTCTTAATTGACGTTAGGCCCTGAATAAAAATCTTTTTTTCGAATGTCAAAATTGAACAAATTATTTATACACCTCAACAGTTTATATCAATAACTATTGAATACAAATTCAAAATAAAGTATGAATATAACAAATAACAAATAATAAAATAGTACAATTAAGAATGATAAAGCTAAAAGGTCATGATTTTAAAAACGAAGGATTATTGCTAATACAAAAAAAAATAATTATTTTTGCTTAATTAGTTTACTTATAAATAACAATATATTTGCATAATTTAAGTATGGTAGCTTTAAGATTCACTGTATTTAACGGAAGCTTGAACGTTTTTGTAGCATACAAATTAATAAAGTTATAATTGTAGTCATAAATATTCACAAAAAAATAGAAGTTCTATTAGGCCTAGTTAATTTATACATTTTTACATTATTAACTAATTTATATTTTGTTGGAATTCACTCATTGTAATAAAAAAAAAAAAAAAAAAAAAAAAAAAAAAAAAACAACTATCGATTCATAGCAGTAATTCAACGTTAAATTAACTAGGAACCGTATGATACAATTAAACGTCCAATGACAAACTTCTTTACCTTTGATACAACACAAAAATAACCTTAAAGAAGGGAAGTTCAAAATTATCCAAGAAAAGTAACACACTTTGCATAATTCTTTTGAACAAGAATCTGAGACAAAATTTGAGACATTGAAATGCCTTGGATTCTTCAAAGTGATAAATTATAAAGTGTTTCAAGCCTCCAAAAATGCTTGTAGGAGTTAGACGTTAAAAAGGTGGTAAACCTGGCTTCTTAATTTACGCTTATTTTCAATCATTAAAAATTATAAAGTTTATAAATTCCAGGTAAATAGATGATACTGTTTTTATTGCTCAAAAACGAGAACAAGATGTATTACACAAATATTCTAATCAAAATAAAGTTATAGAGTTTCATGACGTCAGAAAATATTTTTGTAGCTCTTAAATATCTGTCAATAGAAAATCAACGTACTGTTACCTCCTATGGGTAGTTATGAGAAAACTATTGACTATTTTACTTTTAGTAATTTGTTTAAGATAAAAGTTTTTTTTTTTTAATTTTTGTTATAACTCTTTCTAAATTAATAATAGACACGGATTACATTATCTCTTATATTCTCACATTAGCTTGGCTATAGTTAAAAAAATAAGTTGGTACATACATATACACAAATGGATTTCCTCTCTCATCAACAATTGCGACGCCAGTGAAGCTGAATTCCCTCAAAATTCTCGGCGGAAACAGTTTGTTTTATTTTGTGGGATCACGGAAATCACCCGGATCCCAATAATGGTGTGATGCGTGAAAAAGCACAAGCAGAAAATTCAACTTCCTTCGCCCAAAACGTTCTTACTGCTTTGTCTCACACTTTGCATGTATAAACATTTGTTTTTTTGTTGTATCCGCCCATAACTACTACTGTATTGTCGGTCATTGTATTAATATTTTACAGTGTTTCTTTATTTTTATATTATATGAATGTTTTAGTATAAAATAGACCCCTCTGTTTTAATTAGTTTCCCCCAAAATCTCCCATTTTGGGGATGTACACCAAGTGGTGGTTATGCTCAAAAAGTACTTCATAACACTCCATAAAGGTGTGCCGAGTTTAGCTTTTCTAGTACGGGCCGTTAAAAAATTAACAGGGGGTCTCCAGACTTTTTACTAACCCTGTATATTATAAAATTATTGTAAATTTAGGCCCCTCGGCCCTCAGTTGTCATTGGCTCTATGGGCTATAAATTAACAGCTGTGTATAAGGAAAAGTTTTGGCCTTAAGACAAACTTCAAGATAGCGCCACTTATCTTGCACTCATCTCCATTCTTACTTGGCTTATAATACCGACATTCGTACGGTCGCCATTTCAGATCAAAGTGTTAAAGTATAAATATGCACACTGTTTATTTACTTATTTAGTTAAGTTAACTATTACACAAATAAATAAACAAATAACAAATAAATTACAATAACTCAAAAAATACATTTATATAATACCTAATAACCATGTTAGTTTTTAAACTGAA